ACGGAAGGTACCAGAAGCCTCCAAGCGCAGAATTTTCTCCTACGGATCATCCACACCCCTACCTGTTCTGGGAACCATCGAAGCCAAAATATTCGCCAACGCCAGCAGCACATGGACAACCTTGCACGTCATCAAAGGTGCTTCAGGAAACCTCCTGGGTTTTAACACTGCTACGAAACTTGGTGTGCTCAAGATCATCAATCAAGTCAAACCTGACGAGACCAGTCCCCAGTCCCCCATTAACGGAGATTTGGAAAGCCTGTTCGGCGGAATCGGCAAAGTGCGAGGGAAAGTCATCAAGCTTCACATAGACACTAACGTTGCACCCAAACAACAACCACACTGTCGGATACCCTTCCATGTCAGAAAGGATGTCGAAATGGAGTTAAAGCGATTAGAAGAGCTAGACATCATCGAGACTGTAACGGGCCCAACACCCTGGGTGAGCCCCATTGTCATAGTCCCCAAGAGCTCTGGTGAAGTGAGAATATGTGTGGACATGCGAGAGGCCAACAAGGCTGTTAAACGAGAAAAACACCTGATGCCGACCATAGACGATCTGGTCGCTGACCTCAACGGAGCGACAGTCTTCAGCAAGTTAGACCTTTCGTCTGGATACCACCAACTGGAGCTGGCCCCAGAGAGCCACTACATTACCACATTCAGCACACACGTCGGACTCCGAAGATACAAGCGCCTCATGTTTGGAATTAACGCAGCATCCGAGATCTTTCAGAACGCAATCGAAGAAATACTCACAGGCCTCCCTGGATGCAAGAATATGTCCGACGACATTATCGTTTATGGAAAAACTCAGAAGAAACACGATGAGAACCTCCGTGGTGTACTGGAACGGCTGAAACAACATGGCGTACGCCTGAACAAGGAGAAATGTTCCTTTTCAAGGAGTGAGATTAAGTTCTACGGACAGATTTTCAGCAAGAATGGAGTCAAGGCAGACCCAGCCAAGATCAAAGCGATCACTGACATGAGCAAGCCAGAAAGCATCGGCGAGGTGAAGTCTCTGCTGGGAATGGCTCAATATGTGTCTCGTTACATTCCAAACTACGCTACGATAACTGCTCCTCTACGACTGTTAACCAAGAAAGACAAGTCATGGCAGTGGGCTGACGAACAGCAACAAGCATTCGACAAGCTGAAAGACAGCCTGATCAAGAATCACGTGATGTCGTACTTCAATCCAAGACTCAAGAGTGAAGTGATAGTCGACGCGAGCCCTGTCGGACTTGGAGGATTGTTGGTGCAGGATGGTAAAGTTATCAGTTATGCTAGCCGAGCACTCCGTGACGTCGAGAGCAGATACTCTCAAACGGAGAGGGAGATGCTAGGAGTAGTCTGGGCAGTCGAACATTTTCATCTTTATTTGTATGGATCAGAGTTCACCATTGCCACAGACCACAAACCACTCCTAGGTATCTTTAACAGTCACAAGCCAACGTCAGCGCGCATCGACAGATGGAAGCTGAGGCTCATGCCTTACAACTGCCAACCCACCTATCGACCTGGCAAGGACGCGGAGAATCCAGCCGATTTCATGAGCCGCCATCCAAGTAACATAGAAAGCAAGGAGCGCAGCATTGCAGAAGACTACGTGAACTATGTATGCAACCAGGCAGTGCCAAAAGCAATGACGCTGCAAGAAATCAAGTTAGAGTCGGAGAAGGACGTTTCGCTCCAAGCACTTATCAAGGCCATCGAGACTGACAATTGGACACATCCCGAAGTACAGGAGTACAGAAATGTGAAGGACGAACTGTCGGCCTACCAAGGAATTGTACTGAGAGGAAACAGGATTGTAGTCCCAAAACTACTGAGAGGCAGAGCTGTAGACCTAGCACACGCTGGACACCAAGGAATGGTAAAAACAAAACGCCTCATCAGAGAGAAAGTGTGGTTTCCTGGTGTAGACAAGATGGTTAAGGAAAAAGTCGACAGCTGTTTACCATGCCAAGCAACAACTACTAGTAAGGCAGAACGACTCGAACCTCTAAAGATGACACCGCTACCAAACGCCCCCTGGAAAGAACTTGCGATGGACTTTCTTGGACCACTCCCTTCAGGAGAGTACCTCATGGTCGTCATAGACGAGTACAGCTGTTTCCCAGAAGTTGAAATCGTCACATCCACTTCTGCTAGATCCACCATCCCGAAGCTTGACTCAATCTTCGCTCGACAAGGAATTCCTGATGTCTTAAAGAGTGACAACGGACCCCCCGTCAATGGCGCGGAGTTCAAGAACTTTGCTGAGCATCTGGGTTTTCACCACCGCAAAATCACGCTTCTCTGGCCAAGAGCTAATGGCGAAGCGGAACGTTTCATGAAGACACTAGAGAAGTGCGTGAGAGCCGCTACCGTTGAGCACAAGAGCTGGAAACAAGAACTCTACAAGTTTCTACGACAGTATCGGGCGACACCTCATTCGACCACTGACATTTCGCCGTGCGAAGCACTTAATCACAGGAAGCTCAAGACTACGCTACCAGAAGTGACACCACCAGTTCTTGAGAAACAGAAGAACATGACAGATAGGGATGCAGAACAGAAGTTGAAGATGAAAGCATATGCAGACCATAAGTTAGGAGTGAGAGAGAGCAAGATCAAGCTAGGAGACACAGTCCTTATTAAGCAACCAAAGCGCAACAAGCTAAGCTCCCCGTTCAGTCCAGTACCTCTCGTGGTTGAAGAAAAGAAAGGATCTATGGTTACAGCAAGCAATGGGAATAAAACTATCACGCGGAACTCATCCATGTTCAAAGTTGTCCCGAACCACATAAGGCATGCTGAAAAGATAACACAAGGGCAGGCAGACGAAGATTTAACAGCAGAGCCTTGGTCACCAGAAGTTTCAGAACAAGACAAGTCATCAAGTTCTCCAAGCCCAATTACACCCTTGCGGCGATCTCAGAGGCAAACAAGGCTCCCTGCAAAACTGAAAGACTTTGTCCTACTTGTGCAATAGAACCAGACACTCGAAGCTTGCAGTTGAACTTTGTGACAAGCTAAACGCGTTCCAGTTTGTTGTTCTTAATCATTAGGGTTCAGTTGTTTAAGTCGATTTTTCTAGACATACATGTATTCAAGTTTACAATCAAGAGGGGGAGAGATGTGGTGTTTCTGACAGCTGCCAATCATAATGTTCGGAATGCACACGCGGTCCTTAGGAAGAGAAGCTATTCTGTAGTCGGGTTTCTTCTCACAGGTTGATTAAATATCGTTGTGTTTCTACCGAACGTCTCAGTGGTTATTTAACCGTAAACACCACAAGTATGTCTCTACCATTTTCCTCAGGAAGAAGAAGAATGGCTCTTACAGATTAATCTTGAATCTAAGAGGACTGAATGCATCCATAGAGTATCAACATTTTAAAATGGAAAGCTTGACATGTGCTATTCAGTTAATGAAGAAAAACTGTTACATGGCCTCTACAGACCTAACAGATGCATACTACACTAATCCTGTGGCAGTTAAGCACAGGAGATATTTAAGGTTTCTCTGGAGAAATAGGTTGTTTCAATACACATGCCTGCCTAATGGTATACATCGGCACCAAGATACTTTACAAAACTGTTGAAACCAGTGTATAGCACATTGCGTAGCCTAGCCTACTTGAATGTTGGTTATATGGATGACTCATATTTACAGGGGGACTCAAAGACAGGGTGCAGAAGTAATATTCTCACTACCCTAAACCTATTCGAGTCTCTAGGATTCCTGATCAATCATGAAAAGTCAGTGTTGCAACCATGTCAGAAATTGGCATTTCTTGGCTTTCTTTTAGATTCTGTCAACATGAAAGTATTCCTTACAGCAGAAAAAAGAGAGGAAATACTTTTGGCATGCCAACAACTTCTTCTGAAAAGTGTAATTTCCATAGGAAAAGTTCCCCATGTCATTGGACTTCTGGTCCCTAGTTTGCCTGCTGTCCAGTATGGACCTCTTCACTATAGGAGTCTTGAAATTGTTAGAAATACAGCTTTACAACAAAATAATGTCAACTATGAAGCTATTATGACCCTCTCCGCAGAATCTGTCGGTGACCTTAGCTGGTGGGTGACTAGCCTACCTATAGCATAGAAAAATATTACCATGGGCAACCCAACTATAGAAATGGCAACAGATGCATCAACTTTAGGCTGGGGGGCAGTCTGCAATGGACAAAGTGCCCAAGGCATGTGGTCCCCACTTGAAAAACAAAAGCACATTAATGAACTTGAATTATTAGCAGTATGTTTTGGTTTGAAATCCTTTCTGTTTTTATTGAAAGGGAAGCATGTGTGCATAAAAAGTGACAACTCTACAACTGTCTGCTATCTCAATGCAATGGGGGGGCAATAAATCCCCCCTGTGCAACAAACTTGCCAAAAGTGTTTGGATGTGCTGTGTGCAAAATTAGATTTGGTTGACTGAATGCCATTTGCCTGGGTGTCCTCAATTTTGAGGCAGACAAAAGCTCCAGACAGTTTAATGAGAGAATTGAGTGTCAAATTCAACCTGACATGTTTCATAAGATTATTGACATCCTTGGTACTCCTGAGATTGACCTGTTTGCATGCAGACCTAACAACCAGCTTCCAAAATATGTTTCTTGGAAACCTGACCCTGGGGCCTCCCACATGGATGCTTTTTCGTTTTCCTGGAGTGGGAAGTTTGTTTACATTTTTCCTCCCTTTTCTCTACTTAATATATGTCTGCAGAAATTGGAAAACGATTAGACTTAAGCACCGTTGATAGCTCCTGTCTGGCCGACACGGGTTTGGTGGCCCCAGCTACTAAGCCTTCTAATGGGAAATCCATTACTTCTCCCACAAGACATGGACCTCCTCATCCTTCCACAATCAGGGACTCTACATCCTCTAAGAAACCAAATGAGACTGATGGCATGTCTGTTGTCAGGCAATACTATGAAACAAGAGGAGTATCAAAGTCAGCTGTTGGATTACTCATGGCATCCTCGCAAGGAGGATCTAAGACACAATACTCTGTGTACATAAAAAAATGGACAGCATTTTGTCTCAAAAGGAAAGTCAATCATCTTCAGCCTCCTGTAGTAGCAGTCTTGAATTTCTTTTCTGAACTTTTTGATGAAGGACTTACTTACAGTGCTATCAACTGTCCTAGAAGTGCATTGTCTTCTTATGTGTCCTTGAATGATGGCTCTGTACTGGGACAGAATCCGCTAGTTTGTCGTCTGTTGAAAGGTGTCTTCCAGTCATGGCCACCTTAGCCCAGGTATACAGAAGTTTGGGATGCCCAAGTGGTCTTAACATACCAAGCTACCCTTCATCCTGTTGAATCATTGACACTTACACAACTCACGTTAAAACTTGTAACATTGTTGTTATTAGTATCAGGCCAGCGAGGCCAGACCATCCATTTACTAGACATAAATCATATGTTTGTGAGTGATGACAAATGCACATTTGTCATTCATAGCCACCTCAAACAATAGCAAACCAGGAGTATCTAACCCTCAAGTTGCTCTGGAACCATTTGAACAACCCTGTATTTGTGTTGTTACTACACTTAAGGAATACCTTGTGAGAACCAAAGCATTAAGAGGTAGTGGTCAATCACAGCTGTTACTAAGTTACGTTGAGCCTTATAAGCCTGTAAGCAGGGATACCGTAACTAGATGCTTTAGCTGGTATTGATATAACAAAATATTCAGCTCACAGTACCAAAGCTGCGTCTGTTTCAGCAGCCAGCAGGGCTAATGTAAATATTGATGACATTCTCCAAACTACAGGCTGGTAATCTGAATGCTGTTTTGCTCCCTTTACAACAAACCTATCGCTAAGGTTTCAAGCTGTCCAAGATCAGTCTTGTCATCTATGTAAAATATATCATTTACACATAACTGTTAAACAGGCATGTTGTTGTTTCTTCATGTCCATGTTGCTTTGAAGTCTCATGGAATCTCTCAGCATGGTAATAAGGTGGAATTTAAAAATTAAACGAGACTTACCTGTAAGTTGAGGTTTCATTGTGATTCTACTGAGTTACAGGATGCCAGCTATAAGGCTACAAGTCCTGGACAAAGTGCATGAAGGACACCAAGGAATAGTCAAGTGCAGAGAATGTGCAAAGGCTTCTATTTGGTGGCCTGGTCTCAACCGAGAAGTCCAAGACATGGTTTAGAATTGCAAGGTCTGTGCTAAGTACTGACAACTGCAGGCCGAGCCATTAATGCAAACCTCCTTCCCTGAATGCCCTTGGTAGATGATTGCAACAGATTTGTTAGAGCTAGACAAGCTGAATTACCTTATAGTGGTAGACTACTTCTCGCACTATATAAAAGTAACTGCCATGCAAAAGACCAGCAAGTCTATTGGAGTCATCAGAGCATTGAAAGCAGTCTTTGCAAGACATGGAATCCCAGAGGAAGTAAGAAACGACAATGGCCCACAGTTTGCTTCAGCAGAATTCACTAACTTCGCTAAAGAGTGGGGTTTCAAGCACACCATGA